TATAGCCAGTATCCCAATTGCTTAAGTGCAATTGATGGAAAACATGTGAGAATAAAAAAAACAAGGATGAGTGAATTTCTCTTTTACAATTATAAAAACTATTTTTCAATTGTGTTACTAGCTATCGCAGAAGCAAATTACAAGTTCATTTATATTGACGTCGGTGCTTTTGGAAAAGAATCCGACAGTACTATATTTGAAAGAACTCCTTTTTACAAGAAGCTTGAAAAAAATGACTTAAATATTCCAAGAGGCCGACCTCTTCCAGGCACTGCAGGTGCACCTTTAGGTACAAACATGCCCTACACCAGCGGTTCCCATATGGGCCTCGGATAGAGTATTAGTGGCCCGTGGAAAGCTAGTCAAGAATCGAAGTCAGGGGAGCTTCAAGAGTCATCACTCACTTTTTGCGTTATAAACAATATATTTAATCCTATAGAAAAGTCGAAAAGTCTTTTTTTCTTTGCGGTTAGTGCTTTTTTGGGGATATAATGGCTTAATTAAACGTTTATACGTCATATGTTAGCAGAAAAAAAGCACTAGGACTATCAGTGGGAAGCCTCTGATCCTGATGAGCGGTTTACCATGATATTTTTTTCCATTATTTTATATTTTCTAAATATCTCGGTTTTTTTTCTTGTTTACATTGTAATATATAATATGCGTGTGTATATGTTTGTATTTTTTTACTGATATAATATACTTAGTGGGCCGCAAAATATTTTTTACTCAACAGGTGGTCCGCACAACCAAAAAGGTTGGGAACCGCTGCCCTACACGTTTATTGGCGATGAGGCATTTTCCCTTTCGCCACATATAATGAGACCTTCCACCGGTAAAGTATTGTCAGACAAAAAAAGAATTTTCAATTATAGACTGTCACCTGCCCGTAGAAATGTCGAAAGTGCATTTGGAATTTTTTCTAATTAATAGAAAATGTTTCACGAAGCTATGAATGTAAATTTAGTTTTGGCTAAACTAATGGTAAAGACTCGTTGTGCTCTCCATAATTTTGTAAGAGATAGAGATGGGTTTAGCATTCAAGATGCCATGAGTATAGAAGGCTTTATTGATATCACTCAAGACAATTTATGCATCTCAAGAGGCACAAAGCAATCAATTCTAGCAAGAAACAAGTTGGCATATTATTTTATATCTGATGCTGGCAAAGTGCCTTTGCAAATAAATTATATTTAAGGACTTTTATACCAGGAAATTAACATAATATTCTGTATCTTATATATATTCCTAGATTGAAAACGTTGCAAGAGTGTTAGTGAAAGATAAATTTTTAAAAAATAAATAATAAATACTGTACTTACATATTTCATTTTTTTTCCATCTCTTCAAAACCTTCACTAAAAAGTCTGCAAACATCTTTTCTTCGTTCTATCACAGTAGCTTTTATCTGCTGGATTCCAATTTTTAGGGTACTTTTTCACTTCCCCAATAAGTAATTCAATATCTATGTCATTAAAATTATTCTCTATGATGTCCTGAAAATTAAAGTCAAAATTTTTAACTTAAAGCAAAAATCTATGCAAATGAAATTTAAACTCACACAGAAATATTTGGTACGCTATCGAAAACAAAACTACTCAATATATTTTCTTCGCATTTCCCCCAAGTATATAATGGAACATAAGGAGGGAATTAGTGAAAGTCCCGAGAAAATTAAACATATATTTTTTTTATAAATTAAAATCTATGATTCTATGCATAGAAAAGATAATTTTTTTCTTTAGTTTTTCCATTCTAATTGACTGAAAGCATTTATACATTTAAATAATTTTATTTATTTGCCTTCAGATTGCCACTCGCGATGTTTAACCCTCCAGCCGTTAGGCTTTCAGATTGCTACGTTTGACGAAATTGTCACGCTAAAAGAGAAGGTTATTCTTCAAGTTGTGAGGTTGTGGATAAAAGAATTTCAACCCCCTTTTGTGGTCATTTTCGCGCCGTAGGGGACCTATTAGACCTGTTAGCGTTCAGCAGTGACAGATGACTTCTAACCTTGATTCTTTGTGACAGAATCCTTTGTTAGAAGACCCTTCTTTGAGTATTCTCAGAAAAGTTGGTCAAACTGACCCTCCCGTGACCGCAGACACTCCCTCTCATTATATCGCCGAGTGACACCTGGGGGGAAGAGAAAAACTTGTAGAAGGAAAATCTCGGGTCTGGCACTTATATGGAACTTTTCTTTCCCGAGACAGTCTCGGGTCTGCCGTTATGAGAGGAAAAAAGTTCACTCGGATATCTCGGGCCTGACGCTAGGAGGGTTAATAACATTTTATACCATTCTTTGAAAATTATTCATAAATAATGAAAAAAGAGTGGGAAGATAGGTAAAGAACATAAAAAAAACATAATCAATATTAAATCAGAGAGACATTATGCCAATAAATGAAATAAATAAGATGGTTTTTCACAATATAAACAATTAATATGAGTTTCAACCTTAAGCACTAAATTAGTAATAATAATAAAATAAAGGTTACGTAATTTTTCTACTATTTTTGATATTATTTACTATATACATTTTTTTCACTTAACCTTTCTCAATGAATAATTATTTTTTATGGTATGAAGACAAATTTTTGCTAAATAATAATAGATAAATGAAAGAACAAAACCGAATAAAAGTAATAAATAGAAAAGAAAATAATTTTTTAAAAAGAAGAAACGTACCTACCGTAACTGCAAGAATTATCGTAAGTGTGTACTGTTCAGTTGGTTGCCACGTGCTCAAAGACGTCCAATTTCCTGTCCAATTCGAGGGGAAAGTGCAAAGCAATTGTATCGGAGAAGTCATTTGCGACTCTTTTGCTCTGCGGGAGGTCTGTCGGTACTACCCAACTGTGCTCCATACCCCTGAAGTCGTTTATGGCTTCTGTGTCACTTTGAAGCCCGGTGCACACTTGCCGATTCGTGTCGTTGAAACTATAAAAATGACAATAGTAATCCCCATTCCCCCTGTGTGTCTCCACAGGGGGGGGCATGTGGGTTTCTATTGTTATTTTTATAACTTCAACGACACAAATCGGCTAGAGTACACCGGGTCTGACATTTATTACTTTAACGATATAAATCAGCCAGAATCGGCCAGTGTGCACTGGGACTAAGGTTACTGGTGAAGACTCTGTTCTCCCGTGAGTGGGGAGTGGTGATTCCCTCTCCCTGTGTGGAGAAAGTAGTTCATGCATATGTGAGAGCTTTTAGAGTTGCTTTGATGGCGCCATCTGTTGACAGTATTATATAGAATTTATATAGAACTATTATATAGAACTAAAAACTAAAACCTTGCAAAATTATATTAAAAAGAAATGAAATTAAAATAAAAAACATTTTGCCTTGCATTTTATACAAATGACTAAATCACACCTTTTTTGACAGTAGTATTTATCACTGGTATTTGTGATTTATATTCCGTAGAAAATAACAGCTCGTCAAATATTCGGCATCCCTGTATCATGCCTTATGAACTTAGATAGACTGCGTGCGCGCTCATCGGTTGCTGTGACGTCATCAAAATGTTTCATGATTTTTACGAACTTTGCAGCTCGACTGTGACTAAACCATTATTCCAAATTCTAAAATTCTTTTTGAAATCTTCAATGTCCACCTTTCTTTGTTAAATTAAACTAAAACCATCTCTCTATGTTATTTGGTTGCGGAGCAATAAGCGTTTAACTTGAGCACGAAAAGAATCATAATTTTTTTCTACGGTGGGACACAAATCTACGTCAAAAATAAATAAATGAATGAATAAAAAATAAATAAAAACGAGTTTCATTTAGCGTGCTGTAAAGTAAAAAATATTTTTTTAAATTGAAAATTTGGCGATCAAGACAAAATCGCAAAAGCATGAGGCGCTGAAAATGATACTATCAGGAAATTTAGACACAACGAATATCCATCAAAGAGAAAATTCCTATCCTTTCAGCACCTGGTGTTTCTCGCTATCTTCACGATATTGCCATTCTGAATGGCGTCCAACATTGTAAAAATATCGTATAAATATTGTAGAACATCTTGTATTAATAAGATACACATTCGTTAAAAATATGCTATAATTGTGATTAAAATTCCAATTTACTTAAGAGAAATTGTAACAGCGCGGCCTCATGAATTTTCGATTTGGTTTTGGCATCCATATTTTTCATAATTTTTTTTTTCTGTTTCGAAGTACACTAACTAAAGCAGGGTTGCCATATTGGCCTTTTTAAGGCAAAGTTATGGAAATTTGGCCTTTTTTCAAAGCCCTTGACCTTAGAAATTTTCATTTGACCTTGAATTCATTTTTGGTCTTTTTTGGCTTTGTTTTCGTTAATGACTTTTAGAACAATTTTTAATTATTTATTCTATTGTTTTTAATAAATTTTTGATATTAAACATTTCAAATGATATATAATGAGCTCTGAAACGAAAATAGCTCCTGAACAGAACAAGGATGTTTTAAATTTCTTTCCCTTGAATTTTAGTTTAATAATAGAACATTGAACATATACCTATCAAGTGGGATTCTTTTTCATGAGGGATACATGTTTTTCTAATAGAAAATGGCGTTTTCAATCGACTTGTCAAATTTGGCCTTATTTTTAAGAAGGTTTGGCCTTTGATTTGATTTGGTTGGGGTTTTTTGGGGATTTTCAGAAACAAAGGCTATAAAGGCTCCTGCAGGGATCTCGCCAACCATTTGGCCCAAAAATTGAAATAGCTACCATTTTTCAATTCCTACTATTAGTTCACACTCTCCCTATATATATATATATATATATATATATATATATATATATATTGTTCAAATTTTCAATCGTTAATAAAATACTTTTTATTCATCCACTCAAGTTCAAATACATTTTTTAAAACTTGTAGTGGATGATACTTGATGTTAATACAGTTTTTTCAAATATTAATTCATTAATTAAATAAATTAATTTTATTTATTAGAGCCTCGCACAGGCTACGATCATGGTGTAGGGATAAGAAATGCGGGACGGGACTCGGTGGCGCAACGGTAGCGCGTCTGACTGCAGGTCAGAAGGCTGCGTGTTCAAATCACGTACGGGGCAAGAGATTTACTCAAGACATATCATTTTTGCATATAATTTATATTCTGAAAAATATCTCTTGTTGGCAATTGCATCGAAAAATGTTTAGTTCCCCGTTTGAATGGATAAACTTAGGTCTATTTTTTCTTCAATTCCTACTATTAGTTCACACTCTCCCTATATATATTTATATATCTTGTTCAAATTTTCAATCGTTAATAAAATAATTTTATTCATCCACTCAAGTTCAAATACATTTTTTAAAACTTGTAGCGGATGACACTTGATGTTAATACAGTTTTTTCAAATATTGATTCATTAATTAAATTTAATTAATTAATTTTAGTTTTATATGGGAGAAAAAAATTTCTAAAATAAAATTTTTCTTTGTTGACCCAAGTAGGAATTGACTTAATTTTTTTTTTATATTACTTGTTTTAAAAGTAGTGGATTTTTAGTGACCAAAAAGTAACCTGATTTGTATAATGAAGTGCAACATTTTCTAGCTTTATTTACAACCTTTATACTATGTAGGGGAGAGTGGTAATGAATTCGACACTTTTTTTTCAATGATTTTTGTAATTTTTTCTTTACATCAGATTTTGTTCAAATTTGCAGGATATTTTCTTCATATGTTCATGTATACTATACAAAAATTAAAATTAGAATAAATATCACCCATAATGAGTAATAATAAGAAGTTTGAAAAAGTAAATAGTTGTCCCATTCAACCCAACCCATGGGATTGGATTCTACACCGGAATGACGTAGGTACGGCATTTTAATGTAAATAAACAATACAGAAAACTCGTCCATACAATGTGTTTTAAAAAAACTTGGCTTAAATGCAAGGGCATTTCAAAACCAAAATCACAATGGAATGTAGGTGCGCAAGCGGCATCTGGAGGCAGCAGACGGCATTTAAAATAATACTTAATAAAGGAGGACGAAGATTCTTTCTACAATAATCAACATTTTTGCTATTCGCATTCACACACGTTAGTTTGAGAAAGTCAGCATTTCTTGTTTCCACTTACATTCCTTTATACTTTGAAAATTACCAAAGCAAAAAATGACTGGTTTTGGAATTCGTTGAAGTTTTATTTAATGATCTTTCAAGGTCATAAAGCAAAAATAAGAAAAAAATTATGGGACAAATTACTACTATTTCGCATCAATGACCAATCCCTTTTGTCACCAACAATTCTATTGTCACATTATCAAATTCATAGTTACGTATTTGTTAGTATCCACTTTGCTAACTTGGCAGTGACAGGAAAGGAAGAGGCTTTATCGGTTAGTTTAGCCGTGACTTTATGGGCATGGGTACAAGTGCACCAGGTGTAAAATTTTGTTTTCGATTCATGTTAGTCAAAACATGTGAAGCTGAATTGTTCTTATTATATTAGAATTCCGAACTGACTTTGTGTGTGTTTTAATATTTGAGCTATCTATTAACTGTCAAAAGCTACTCCATTTTTTTTTCCGAGAATTGTTCATTTTGCTTTTCCCTTATAATGGGAATTAATATTTAGGTAAGCATTTATATTTATTAGCATAATGTTATCATATTTCCTGGTTCATATTTTAACTTTAAATTACATAGTGTATGCATCTTTTCACGCACTAAAAATGAGTTTTCTAAAGCATTATTTATTAATTAGAAGGATTTTCTTATGTGGATATTTGAAAAACTGGTAGTGAATTATTTATACGGAATTTTAATATACGGGCTTGTTCATTTCTCTCTGTTTGTGAATGTCATACATTATATAAAAGTAACCTAAATATTATTTAGAAGTAGAAATATTTGTTATCAATTCATTTGTATTAAGTATTTCTAATAACGAATGCCAAAGAACCTATGAAGACTTAGGTATGAAGCTTTATAAGTAAATTAGAACTCATTGTAAAATTGTATTATGTATAATATATTGCTTCAAACAACAGAACTTTTTAATTTGTTCTGAAGTACTCTCAAATTTGTATTTATTGTTCAAGTAAGCAGTTTTGTTTTTGATGGTCCAACTTGTTCTATCAATAATTCTAATAAGATAATTTTAAACATAGCCATTCCAATAAGAATATAATGCATTTTTGGAGAATTCCAAAATTTAAAAGATTTAATTTTTTTTTCCAGTCAAGACTGCATGCTCTTTTATGTAAAATTTCATTAAAGCAAAATTTAGTGATTACCTATATATGTGTGTATATATTCCTTGATATTTTTCCATGATGTGCTCAAGTTACATTTTCAAAATATGATAAATTCTTCCTCTAAACATAAATGAGCCATTTATTTTTGTTTAGTTTTAAATTCTGTCTCTGATAAGGCTATAATTCTAAATATAATTTAAACTACCAAACAGAAGTTCAGCACTTACTCTCAAATGAAAACTCAAAAATTCTCTTTCAAAGCACATCTTATTGCCTTAAGAAACAGATTCTTTGGGGAAATTTTCCTTTTATGACATTTGCTTTCTCTTTAAAATTTTTCTCTTATTTTGCAGAAACACTAACTTCTATTTAATGATGTTTATAAACATCTTAAAGTATTGGTTTTATTTTCTATTACAGTAGTTACATTGTCTAAAAGTAAGGTTTATCTTGCTTGTTAGTGGCATTTATTTATGTATGTGTCCATCAATTTTAAGAAATTATCATTACAAAAAATATCTACTAAATAAAGGAGAATGTCTCTCTGTGTGTTTTGGCGTTCTACAGACCACTGGACTTAGAGCCACGAAATTGTGCATAAATATACTTTGGAGGGTGGGAATGTGTACCTCGGAGCCCTTATTTTAAAATTTTAATTAATTAAAAATGAAGCAAAATTTTGGCGTTTTTCCTTAATAACTTCAAAATTATTAAAGCATAAAAATGATGTTTATGCCATCTGGAAAGTGCAAAAAATTACCTTTTCAATGATATCAATTTGCCATATAATTTTTTCTCTAATTTTAATGAATTTCTAAAAATATTTTTTGGCATAATTTACAACAATACTTTTGATTGCACTGTTGCAACACAATTCAAACCGTTTTTATTGTTTAAACAAACATTTATTTGTGTATTTCTCTATTATTATTGAAATATAAGGTAATATTGTAATGTTTAATGCTATGATTTAATCAGCATATTTTCATCCAGCTAACACATGACTGGAAGTAAAATGTTCTGCATCACTTTAAAGTTAAAATCAAATGCATATTTTTCAAGAATAAGACTGAAGTTGATGCCGACAATGTGCAATTTGATGTTGCGAGACACAGCCAGCTACCTGACTCGATTAGGGACGTTAATGCAGACAACAAACAGAACAAGTGTAACGCTACTGAAAGAACATGGATTAAATATCTATCACAATTTGAAATTGTTAAAGAGACCATGAATATTAAATTATGCATAAGAGATTCAATTGAAATTATGTTCCCGGCGAACAAGCTGGTCGCTGAAGGCGGCTAGTAACAGTAATTTGATCATGGAAGAGGGATAAAATGTATGTTTATTATAAATTACAGAAACTTTTTATTATCATTTGAAAATATATAGCAAAGGATTATCACTGTTAATCTGAGATCCAGAATGTTGTTTCAACTAATATTTTACACACATATATTTAAACTTTTTCCTTGAATTTGTCTGTATAGATATTTTGACTGCAAATTCTAAAAGTTTCATCATACATCTTAATGATCTCATGATTGATTTTAAATATACCTGATGGAATGCCTGTTGGAAAATCACGATTTTATCATGTTGTTGGGCATAAATAAAAATTCAGACTCATTAAATTTTAAATTAATAAGCTGCAATAATATGAAGTTTGAGTCAATGAAGCTAGTATTACTAATATAATAGCCCAGATCCTCCGTTAACACTCTGACGTCACCAACAATAAAACTCGCGCCATAGCACTGCAAGACGTTAAACAGCATTATTTCATTGTTAAATAACCTGAATCTCAGTAATTTTAAATTTAAAAGAGCAATTGTCATTCTAATTTCAAATTTAATAGCTCTAAAATAGTGAAATAAAATTTTCTATTGATCGATATAAAATTTATCTCGCTATGATCAATAGTTCCTGAGAAATTTTAAATTATATTAATCCTATATTTCAAATTAATTTCCGTTTTTCAATAGAAAGTGGTAAATTACGTCAGTGGTATATTATGCGCATGATATAGTTTGGACGCCAAATTGTATCTGAATGCAATCGTGGCGATGTTGTTTTCTTGCCAAGAATTAAATTAGCCACCAGTGATGTGAATCTACCATTCATTCTCAACCGCCGCCAGTTCCCATTAATTCCAGCTTACACGACGACTATCAACAAATCGCAGGGGCAAACTTTCGACCATGTTGGAATTTACCTCGATGAGCTGTGTCTTTTCACATGGACAGCTCTATGTTGCACTTTCAAGGTCTAGGATTCCCAATCACATTAAAATTTACGTAAAGACATCTGAAGTACAAGGAAAATTATTAAACAACGAAAAATACTTCACATGGAATGTTGTTTACCAAGCGGTTTTTGAATAAAGAAATATTTAAATAAAAAAAATATTTCCTGTCATAAAACATGTTTATTTTATTTGTTTTCAATCAATATTCAACATTTCTCTCGCATATATATCTATTTAAACACGTCAAATTTGAAGGGAAATCTCTTGAATAAAGAGGCAATTTGCACCGTCAAACCATGATGGGTGATTTTCTAGTAGCCTAATAAGGCTGTTCCGCCATAAAACCTTACAACAAACAAACAGAAGCGGGAATAGTAATGCATGTATGTATTTTTAAATACTTATGTGTTTAAATATAAAAATATATATATATTTAAAGCTGTGTATGATCAGATAAAAATGAATAAATCAGATAAAATTTCTAAATATCCTCATTATTCATACCAGAGATGATCTGAGCATAGGGCTTCTTCAAAATTTTTGCATAGGTTTGTTTATTAATTTAGAAAATTAGACTTTTGGCTATGTGAACAAAATAAATTTTAATAAGCAA